GCAAATTCCAAAGTCGGGTCCTCCAGAAGGAAGGCTGTGCACATGCACCATCCACTGAACCTAAGGAGGTTGTAGGGGGGGGGGGGGGGGGGGGCGGGGCAGAGAGGTGCAAGGGGGAAGATGGGTTTCTTCTGAGCCCAGGCCAAATAACCATAAGATGTTGGAAACTCAAAGAGAAGACAGGAAGCCAACATCTCACAGGAAACTTAAACCACCAAGTCCCCTTCCTGGTGGGTGATTTTGTAGAACAGTCAGGACTCAAATGAAATGTCCTGCTCCCCAGATATGACCACACAGTTAGGGCCCAATCTGGCACCTGTGACAGTAAATGGCAAGTCTGGGATCAAGACTGGGCCTTCAGCTCCTCCAATAACCTAGCCTACCCAATGCTCCACCCTGAGGAACTCACGGATTTTGGCCTCATTCTGCCTCCCCAAGTGAAGCTCCTTGTAGCCATGTGCAGGACATTAAACAGCCACTTAGATGGCAACTTGTACACAGGGAGCCAGTTTGTTCTTTTGCAGTAAAAGCCCTATGACTTCATCGCAGGGATGGCATCTGGTTTTGCAATTGGACATAATTCAATTCTCCCTGCACGCTACAGGAACTTGTGCGGGTGGAGCAGTGATTTGGTGAGCAAGGCTGCTCTCGAGTGCAAAGAAATCTTTTCATGGGTATTGAAACGCCCGTTATTATCATTACATTTCATGCAAAGAAAGGGCCCAGGTATGGGACTCCTGCTCTTAATTACAATATTTGTCAACTGTAGGCTGTAAAGCCTTTTAAAACCATTTATGAGTGAAAAAGTTCTCATAAAAAAAATGGGACTAACTGCCTGCAGAGCCAGACAGTGTGGACAGGGCTCTGCCAATGCAACTCAGTCCTGACCTGCAGCCCCCCATGTATTTCAATGCAAAATCCTCTGCCAGGCCCCTCACTGGCAGCACAATTCCAGTCCTGAGCCCACACCACTGCACTTCCAATACCCCTCAATTCTGCCCCTTCCTCCGCACAACAAACCCTCCCTGATTTTCAGCCTTGGGCTCCCCACGCAGCTCTGCTGATGCCCCTCAGGGCCTGATTTCTGCTAATTCAGTTCTGGCTCACTCCCCCCACAGCTCTGTCAAACAACAAAGCATAAAAGAGCAAAACCGGCAGCACCCTCCTGCTTCGCTAGTCCTTGACAGTCCCTCTGTTCTGCCACTGCACAAGGCTAACCCACAGCAACCTCCCGACTATTCAAGTCCTGGGCCTGTGCTGAGACAAGACTGACAATTGTGTGCAACAGACGTGCTGATGAGTGTTGGTTTATGTGATGTATCCCATAGGGACTTGGAGGAGAAACCCTAAAACTCTTTGCCACAGTAGCCTGACCTAGCATTTCAACCCAGGTCTCCAGGGGCAGCAGGTTGGTGCAGAAACCCACTAGGCCTCTGGGTAAAGAAGTTTTTAATGACTGCACAGCTCTGTGATCGTTTTTATGTGCACGTCTGACGTGGTGCAGCTGTTCAGGCCACAGAAGAAGAAAACTTCAGCTGTTGCTATTATAAACCCAAAGTTCTCCCTAACGTCTCCCAGTTCCTATTAAGCAGGGGCTTGGAATTAAAAAAGTAGCGATGCCCATGAAAAAAAGCCCACACTCTCTGCAATGAAAAACCAGGTACCTCCTTTTAGCTCCCGTGAGATTCTCAGTGGCCTCCTCGCAAAACTAGAGTCTACATCCCATATAAGAGACCCACTTCAGCACAGCAAGAAACATGTGAAGCCAAAAGACTTTCCAGGTCTACATTTGTCGCTCTTCTCTACTACAATGCCTAACACAAGAGCCACCCCTGCGGCCAATCTGCTCTATCTCCTCAGGACTGGGAATACTCTAAGCGCTGTCACTTTAAGGGTTTAGAAGGTGTTGTTTTAACAACCTCTAAGCCCCCCTTCTCAGTTTCAGCTTAGTGCTGAGATCACATCCCTCACTGCAGCTAAGAGACAAAAGCCATTTATCAACCTATCTGATAAACCTCCAATAGGCTGGATCCTTATCTGGAATAAACCACACTGCCTGGATGGACTGGAAGCATTAATTCCTACTCCTCTGAGAAAGGTGTTTATTACAGTTTGGGACAGCAAATATCAGGGTCACCTCATCCCGAGGAACTGGTCAGGCATCCCAGCTAGACCCAAATCAACAGCAGCTTCCAAATGAATGTTATTTGGGGGCAAACTCTCCCCTAGGGTCGGTCCTTAGATAAAACTCATAGGGCTAGATTTTCAATACAGGTCAGCCCCTAGTTAGGCCCTGAAATACACCGCTGGATGTATTTAACAAAAGCTCAGCACAAGTGCCACATATATTACCCAAAGAGTTACATACGGGAGCTACCAGGTACCAGCTTAGTTTAGAAACAAGGCTCTAATAATGAGGGTCGAGCACTTGGAAACTGAGCCCAGATCACTGGGAAATCTGGACCTTACATTCCTCAGCAGATTTGCTTAGGGAACAAGGAATAAAAACAATAAATAGTCAGGATTGGTCTGATTCTCCAGCCAAGCACTAATTTGTACTGGTGCAATGGGGTTGCTCCTGAGCCATTCTGGGATGAGATAATCCAGCCCGATGGTACAAATAGGAGGAACTCAGGGCAAGCCACTAGGGTCAAAACACCAGGGCTATGTCTATACTGCAACCTTATTTTGAAATAACGCGTGTTATTTCGAAATAACAGAGTGCGCGTCTACACAGCAAGCCCGTTATTTCGAAATGATTTCAAAGAGTGTTCTTCCTTCGACTTCCTGCAGTGTAGACAGCACGAAAAGCCGAGTGAAGGTACGTCGGCTTCAGCTATGCAATTAACGTAGCTGCAGTTGCGTATCTTAACTCGACTTTAGCCCACAGTGCAGACATTCCCCACGAGATCTGACTCAAATCAACAAAAAATGTGAGGCTTGGTAGGACACTCAGCTCACACACTGAGCGTTCTGTGGGGACTAGCTGGGAGCAGTGCTTGGGTCAGCCCCTATAAACCAGCTATAACCTTCAGAAACAATGTTACGACTCCATCAGGTTTATGCCACCTCTTTACTATGTGCTGCTGAGATGTGACTTAGCAGGAGGCAGAATGGAGAGAAGTGGAGAGACACCCAGGTGCAGACACCCCTTTTTCTTCCTCCTACCTTCTGGACCCCGAATAAAATACACAGCAAGGGATAAGCATAATAACGAGCATGGTCTAAATTTGTGCCCAAACTCCTTTTAGCAGTTCACAGTGAGGCTTGATTACCCAGTTTTGCCAGTTCCTTGAAATATATTTGGCTGTTGAGGTGGAGAATTAAAAAAAAAAAAAACACAAACACACAGATCTAATATCAAGTTCTTTCTTGCATGGCACTTTGGCTCAAAGGCTATGTAAAGAACTTAAGCAACAAGCATTGGATCTGATCAAAAACTCCCCACAATGCACATCTCTGTGCTCAATTTCCTCAGGGCTAAAATATCCCAGCGATCAGGGAGATGTAGGTGGAGGTATTGATCCTGATATTTCAACGAAGGGGTTTATTTTAGTGAATCAGGAAGGGGGCTAATTTATTTATGTACTGCATGTGTGAGAAAGACAGCTTAGCTTAAGAGATTTAGATAGTGCAAAAGAACTGCCCGGGCAATAGGAAAGGAAGAAATGATATAAAAAAGAAAACAGAGCGGGGGATTAAACTTTAGGGTTTTTCTCTGTCTCCGTCTCCCCCCCATTTTTTAAAAAAAGAGGTAAAGAAACTGGAGAGTTTGGGAAGGAACAAATCTGCCTCTGTGGAGTTGGTTTCCCCTCCCCCAACAAAAACAAGCACTCACGGCTCGAAGGAATTTGCAGCCACAGATCTGCCAAAAACATTGTGAAAAACTATGGGGGATTCATTGGAACCAGATGGCGTTTTCAGCTGTAATTCTGAAATTCTCTCCTTTTCTGACACAACACAAACAAAGCGGGGGAAGACAGAGGGTGGCCCGCAAATGTTATCAAACAGAAAGATAAGCAAGAGCTGCAAGTGTAGGTATGTGTGCGCCGGGGAAGCAGTACAATGGGGGCGCAAAGCTTTAGGAAGGGAGATCAGCCCCTTGCAGCCGCTCTGGCTGCAAAGGGGGCCACTTGCTTTCCCCCTGTGACAGGAGCAGCAGCCTCAGACCCAGCGAAGCAAATTTTTCTGACTGAGCAATGGCACCGGCAAAGGCGGCAGGCAGGGCTACAAACCCAAGCCAAGCCGGGCAGTGTCGGAAGAGGAGGGCTTGTGGGATAACCTGGCCCCCTCCAGCCCGAAGCTGCTGACTCGGAATTCACTGGTGTGTTCCTCCACTTTTATCCCCGTGCAACTCTCTTGCAACAAATGAAGTCAGGCTGGTGTCCAGCCGCAGTGACTAGCAGGATCGGGACCGTGAATGTGCAGACAGTGAAACATCCCTTCAGAGGGCCAGAGTTTGCATGTAAGCTGGAGCCTCCCTCACCCCACCCCCCATCACATCTCAAAATCCAGTCCCTACTCACTGCCCTGCTTTTTCTAAGCACCAGGCACATTTCAGATCCTGAGGCCAACCTCTGCAGCTCCCCACCGGGCAACCAGTCAATGGGCACAGCCTGGCACGGAGTAGCTATTCCCCTAGTCACATTTCTCCTTCTGCCCCTGCCCGCAGCACCCGGGAGAGCTAGAAGAACAGTCCGGAGGGGAGCTACTTTCCGCCTCTAGATCACAAAGCTCCGACTTGCCTTCGAGTCTCCCCCCTGCAGGGGCGAGATGGGGCTGCGGGGGCAGAGAGGTAGGCACCAGGCGGAGGTCAAGAAAGACAAACACATGCCGGGGGGTTGCGCTGGAAGCTCGGCCCCGCTAGCTTTTCAACATGTGGCGAGCTGCTGCAGAGAGCGAGCGAGACAGCGAGGCCCGCAGCCAGGGAGGGGGTCGCTGAGACGGCTTAGCAAAGGCTTTGTACGAAAAGTCTTCAACCCAACCGGGCTGTTCCTTACCTGGAGGGAAGATGCAGAGAAAGACAGGGAGGAGGTGGAAGAATCCCAGGGCTGTGGATCCTGCCCCTCTCCCCATACCCATCCATCCAGCTCGAGCTTTTACCACTAGCCTCTCCCTAGAAGAGTTTAAAAAAAAAAAAAAAGAAAGAGAGAGAGAGAGAGAGAAAGGAAAAAAAGGGAAAAATAAATCAATCGAAAGGAAGGAGAGGAACTAAAAAAGAAGCACGCAGCCCCCCAGCGAGAGAAGCTCTGGCTGGCTGTGCAGGGCAGGGAGCCCTTCACTGGCAGGCTCCAGGCGCCTCTGGATTGAAATTACATCTCCCCCCCCCCCTTCTCCCCTCCTTTCCCCCCTTACAAAACAGCCCGCACCATCAGTCATCCCCGCTGCCTTCCAATGTCTGCCGCGCTCTTCCTTTCTCCCCGGCTCCTCCAGTCAGGAGCCAGCGTCTCCGCCTCCCGAACCAGGCAGGCTCCTGTTACAGCCAGCAGCGCCTTGGCGAGGGGTGGGGGAATAGAAGGGGCGGAGGAATTAATTCATTCCATGCACTAGTCTAGAGTCAGGGGCGAGGGTGGGGAGGCCGGTTACTCTATAGAACTAACCACAGACCCCCCTAAAACTCAGAGCACCCCTGAGGAAAGAGAAACACACCCAGCTCCTGGCTGGATCAGGTTCTGCCTGGCTGGGGAGCTGTGGTCCCTTCTGCAGCGGCAAGGAAGGGAACAGTGTGGCATCCCAGATTTCTCTCCCAGAGCAAATTTCAGTTGGGTTTGCCAGTCACAATAATTTTTTTTCTAGCCATCATCAAGCGCTTGGGATCTGAAAACCGCCTACCTAGTGAGACAGTAATGCTGACCACTGGTTTTCAAAAGGCTGCCAAAAGGTTAACTGGGTAGACCCTGAAGGGAAGGAAAGATCATTGCCTCCTTTGGGAAACTGAGGCATGGAGGCCCAGCTCCTCAAAGGTATTTAGGCTCCTAAATCCCATTGAAGATCGGGGCTTGAGAGTACATAATTTAGCCAAGGTCACCCACTGACTGCATGGCAGAGAAAGAGGACCCAGGAGTTCCTGTCTCTCAGCCCTGTATGGAAGATGCAGAGAAAGACAGGGAGGGTTTGGAAGAATCCCAGGGCAGTGGATTCTGCCCCTCTTCCCATACCCATCCACTTAATGTGCTGACACCCCTTGTCACAGGAAATTCTGCCATTAGAAACCAGCATGCTGTAGGTGTACTGTTTCTCAACAGAATTCAGCTCACACTTCCACAGCTGCATTCATGGGAGTGAAGTAAACCCATATGACTCAGAAACACACATGGAGCAAATTTCACAGCTCCATGTCGTTAGTCTGATAAATGTTAGATAGAAATGGAAATGCTCTATTAAGTCTATTAAGAGCATGTCTACACAGCAGTGTTTTTTCAGAACAACACATTATTTCAAAATAAAAACATGTGCATCTACACAGCAAGCCATTATTTTGAAATAATGTTGAGCTGGAGGACTTCTTGCTCCAACTCCTAATTTCACAAGGATTAAGGGAAATTGAAGGAAGAGTGCTAAGGGTATGTCTAGACTGGGGTTTTTCCGGGAGGTATCCTGGAAAAACTCCCCCACATCCAGGGAATGTGTTTGCTCTTCCACTTTTTTTTTTGTTTGCGTTCTATGAGGAAAAAGGGCTCCTCCGAAAGAGGAGGCTTTTCCGCCATTTGGCCCCATCTATACAGGGCCAAATGGCAGAAAAGCCTCTTCCAAAAAAAGCAATCAGAAAAAGCTACGCAAATTGCACAGTGCAATTTGCGTAGCCTTTTCTGAAAAAAGGCTATAGTGTAGACCTAGCCTGAGTAGACAGCCCCAAAAGCTGAATTAAGCTATTTTGACTTGACATAGCTGAAGATGTGTAGCTTAATTTGACTTTTGCCCTGTCATGTAGACGTGCTGTTAGTTGAGTTCCCAAACAATGAAGGGGATAGTTCCTATCATACATTTACTGGTGTTTTCTCAAGACCAATGTTAAATAGTCATCCAAATACTTTTTCTGCATTTCCACAAGGTTCCCATCCTATAGCCTAGCCTGACAGATCTCACTGTCAAGCTGTTGTTGCTGATATTGAATTTGTCTCTATAGGTCTAGGAGAGTTTTACTCCATAGCTGCGTCTAGACTGGCAAGTTTTTCCACAAAAGCAGTTGCTTTTCCAGAAAAACTTGCCAGCTGTCTACACTGGCTGCTTGAATTTGCGCAAGAACACTGACAATCTAATGTAAGATTGTCGGTGTTCTTCCGCAAATACTATGCTGCTCCTGTTCGGGGAAAAAGCCCTCTTGCACAAATGTATTTGCACAAGAGGGCCAATGTAGACAGGTAAAAACTGTTTTGCGCAAAAAAGCCCCGATGGCGAAAATGGCAATCAGGACTTTCTTGCGCGAAACCGTGTCTAGATTGGCACGGACGCTTTTCCGCAAAAAGTGCTTTTGCGCAAAAGCATCCGTGCCAATCTAGACGCTCTTTTCCCCAAATGCTTTTAACGGAAAAACTTTTCCGTTAAAAGCATTTGCGGAAAATCATGCCAGTCTAGACGTAGCAATGAGTGATTGCAGGACTAGTCATTCCAATGTGGACACTCTTCTTCAAATATAAAAATGATGTTCTTCAGTTTAGCTTCTGTCACTTGAGAACTGTGGCTAAACCAAAGAATGTTGTTCTTAAGAATATCTCTCTAGGAAAATTATACCGCATAACTAGATTTGTTTAAAATTCACTCATTTGCCTATAGAAAAGTACTTTCCCTGAAGCAAGTTCAAACTACAATGAGCTAAGGCCACTGTAATTCTGTAGCAAAAGTACTTTCCCTGGAGCAAGCTCAAACTACAATGAGCTAAGGCCACTGTAATTCTGGTCAATTCATTTTAGTTAATTCATCAGAACTTTCCTTGCCATTGTAATGCTGATGGGAAGAGTGTTTCCATCAATGCAGGTAATCTACCTCTCTAAAAGGTGGATGGATGCTAGGTTGATACAAGAATTCTTCCCTCTACCTAGCTGCATTTACAGTTGGGTTAGCCTGACCTAACTGCAGCTCACAGAGGGCAAAATTTGTCAGAGTGCAGAGTCATGCAGCTAAGGTGACTTAAGTGTTAGGTTTAGACCAGGCTTTAAAAAAGAACCTGCCTGGGGAAAGTGCGGAGGCTGCAATAAGATCACATATTTTGAGGCAAATTTGTCAAATATCTCCATTTGGCTATTGTGTTAAGAGGTGGGGTTTAGTATCAGAGGTGGGGTTTGATTTTCCAAAACTCCAAATGGCCACATAGGCTGAAAGTATATGGGTAGTTTGGAGGGGGAAATAGTGGGGGCATTGTCCCCTCCCAAAATGCAAGCCTCGATCAGACATCTCTAAGTGCAAGCCTGTTGACCTGACTGTAGCCTCCCCCCCATATATAAGTCCAACTATGCCTATGGCTGCAACGCTGGATTTTTATCAAGCCCTTATGAAAAATAAAGACGATTCTGCGCGGAATCAAAAGTGTAGTTGCGGGTGAGGAGTCTTGTCCGCTTGACCAAAGGGCTGTAAAAAGGGATGACCAAAGGGATGCAAAAAGTGAACCATTTAACCAGTTACTCAGCAAGCATTAGGCTTATTGGAATACTTGCCAAGTAACCAGTTGGATGGGCAGGCTGGAGCAGCCCTGGATGAATCCAGGCCGGCTGTGACCACAGCTGCACTGGGTGTGGGCCATGCCAGAGCAGCCCGGGCAATGAGGCGAAGCCTGAGCTGGGACATCCTGGCCCCAAATGCGCTGGAGCAGCCCAGGCAGCCAGGCAGGATCCCCACTGTGCCAGAGAGCAGGGCTGGCGGGGCCCCAGCTGCACTGCAGTGGAATGGGCAGACAGGCCAGCAGGACCCTGGCCCCAGCCACAGAGGCCTGGGCAGCCAGGTGGAACCTCGACTGCGCTGGTGCAGGCTGGCGAGATCCAAGCCCTGGCTGTGTGGGGGTGGCTGGCGGGACCCTGGCCCTGGTCACACCAGGCCAGCAGGAAGGACCCTGTCCCCTCTTACACAGCCCAGGAGGGAGGGCAGGAATCCGGCCCGAGCTGCCATCCACCAGCCTGTCAGCGGTTAACCAGTGAAACTGTCTAATTGTTATCAGCTTAACCGGTTAACTATTTTAATTGGATATTTATATCCCTAGAGGCAACACTGACTGCACTGTCCCTTATTTCTTTTCTTCCGAAAGCCTGAACACCGTCACCAAGAAGGATCTTACATCTAGATTACACTTTCATCAGTCCTTTACAAACAATACACAGTGGACACTTCATCCACAACAGACATGCAGCCACTGTAAGGAAGATCACAACAATGCTGTACAACAGCTTGACACAGGCAGCCGAGAGGAGGTATCCGTGGTCCAGCGGGCTGCTGGGGTGTATAGGGTAGAATGTAGTGTTCGGAACTGGAATTAGAATAGGATGATAGGGCTAACACACCCTGTCTCCTGACTAAAAGTGTCCGTATGATTATATTTGGGCTAGCAGACAGGTGTATGTATCTTATGGAAGACAAGATGACCCGTGACATACCACTCACCTTGGTGAGACTTTGACCCTACGTAGCCACAGTGGACTGAGATACGGACTAAGTGTTGTCTGACACTCTAAGGGTCAAATGCATCCCTGATGTAACTCCATTGACTTCCATGGACTCACAACCAGGACGAATTTGTGCTAACTCTTTGGTTATTAAAGAAGGTTCCACTAATCAAAGACTCCTACAATACCAAGACAGGAGGCAAATCTACCCTTGAACCCTATGGACCTGACTCTGCCGCCACTGAAATCAATGGAAGTAGAACAGGGCTTTATAGAACCCCATAACAATATTTACTGTCTTCTCCTAAGTAATCATTCTTCCTATCTACATAGAGAGCATCCTGTTTCATCTTGTGTGTGTGTGTATGGAGGTGTGTATGTGTGTGCACGAGTGTGTGTGTGTGTGCACATTACATACATGTGCAACTTACAAAGGGGATGGAGAAATCATGACAAATGGTATGTAAGCCTCTGCTGTTCTAAGTTAGACCATGCACTACCATTGATTTAATGGAGCTGAATGAAT